GTGTGAGTGTGAGAGAGTGTGTGTGTGAGTGTGAGAGAGTGTGTGTGTGAGTGTGAGAGAGTGTGTGTGTGAGTGTGAGAGAGTGTGTGCGTGCGTGTGTGTGTGAGAGTGCGTGCGTGTGAGTGTGCGTGTGAGTGTGTGTGTGAGAGAGAGAAAGAGAGAGTGTGTGTGTGTCATTCAGCTGTTTGGGTGGGTGTGCTGGGCTGATTGAGCCCCACCGTTTTACACAACCATCCAGCGAAGTTCACCTCCTCCACCTCTGAGCGCTTAATAAATGTGTGATTCTGGAAAAGAGAGATCACACACATGTGTCACGACTGCGTCTGACTCAAACAACAGCCCAGTGAGATGCTATTCCAGTTTTAATTCATATTTTGAATTCAGTGTTATTTTTATATGTTCTGTTTAATCGGCAAGACTTGAGATTATCTAAACAGGTTTGATTGGATTGTGAAAAGTGGGACATGATATGGTTGGTTGATATTACATTCTGTAATAATAATAAGAATAAGACACTGTATGATCAAGCACATTTATCATAAAAGTAAACGGAGTCAATTTTGATTTTATATTGTTTTGCATGAAAACATAAGAAATGTGCTCTCACCATCAGCATCTTCAGGTCCGCTCGGTCTGCAGGGTTTTTAATCAGACTAGAAGACAAACGCAAAGAAAACAGCTGAAATTATGTCCCAAGATCTCAATTACGTGTGAAGACGCACCAAAGATGTGCTGTATTTCACCTGTTGAGTAACAACACTCACCATTTGGTCACAAAGTCCTGGAAATCAGGAGTGAAGACGCCATGAGGGAGTTTAGGGGGCGGCTGATAGATAACACACACATAAAATTCTTCATTCACATTTATACATCAATAATAACAGCATCAGATCTCTTTTTTTCAGTGATTTAAAGAGCCCTGCACTGGAAACTAGTGCTCTACACACTCAAAGTCGTTATGCATTTCTATATACTTGCATTTTTCTTAATATTGAGTCTATGATGACTGCCTGATTACTCTGGACGTTCATGCATTCAAAACTATTTTGAAATTTGTCATCAGCTCAGCCTGAATCTTCTATTAGTTTAGACACACAGACGTCAGCTTCAGGACAGTAGTTTTTATTAGATTGTATCCAGGCTTTCAACCTGAAACTTAAGCATGTGATTAAAGGAAAAGACTCTCACCTCATTGACTATATAATCCAGCAGCTCAAATATAGCCATGATGGGCCCGTGACCTGAAAGAGAACAGGACGCTCTATGAGTCACACCAGTTTACTGGTAACAGAGAGCAATGAGTAACTTCATGTTTATGTTCTTCCTAAACAACCGCTACTACAGTGATCTGTGACCTTATACTGAGACCTGCTGGCATTCAACATAATATTATACGAGTAATTTTCATTGCTGTGAATTTACACTACCAGTTAAAAGTTTGGAATGAAGTTTTTTTGTACGTTTTTGAAAGACGTCTTTTCTCTCAGCAGAGCTGCATTTATTTGATCAAAAATACAGTAAAAATACTAATAATGTGAAATATTATTAAAATTTAAAATAGCTGTTTTCTATGTGAATATCTGTTAAACTGTAATTTATTCCTGTGATCAAAGCTGTATTTTCAGCATCATTACTCCAGTCTTCAGTGTCACATGATCTTCAGAAATCATTCTAATTTGCTGATCAAGAAACATTTCTGATTATTATCAATGTTGAAAACAGTTGTGCTGCACAATATTTTTGTGGAAACTGTGATGTATTACCATTTAAAAGTTTGGGGTGTATAACACTGAAATTGTTTTAAATACTTTTATTAATCAATGAAACATTAAATTGCTCAAAAGTGACAGTAAAGACATTGATAATGTAACAAGATTTCTATTTCAAATTAATGCTGTTCTTCTGAACTTTCTATTAATCTTTGAATCCTGAAAAATAAAATGTATCACAGTTTCCACAAAAATATTGTGCAGCACAAGTGTTTTCAACATTGGTAATAATCAGAAATGTTTCTTGAGCAGCAAATCAGAATATTAGAATGATTTCTGAAGATCATGTGACACTGAAGACTGGAGTAATGATGCTGAAAATTCAGCTGTGCATCACAGAAATAAATCACATTTGAACAGATATTCACATAGAAAACAGGTATTTTAAATTGTAATAATATTTCACATTATTAGTATTTTTACTGTATTTTTCATCAAATAAATGCAACCTTGGTGAGCAGAAGAGACTTCTTTAAAAAATCTTAAACCTTTGATCAGTAGTGTAAAACTCATTTTTGCAGTTCCATCATGGTGACGGTAGTAGCACAGAAATTCCCCACTACTCCTTTAAGTTTCATCACAGCCAAATAAGAAAATGTCCACAAAGACTCTTGCTGCCATCCATAAAGAAAGACTTTCTCACCGCTGACGGGTCTGCCGGGGGGTCTGGGTCGAGCAGACGTACTGTGTGTCCCTGTCTCCCGAACATCCATCACTACCCTGCCGAAGATGCCCTCCAGCTCCTTGGCATCGGGTGGAGGAATGGGATAGCGGCCGATGGCCAGCTCCACCAGAGAGAGACCCATACTCCACACGTCTGACTGCACCGAGTAATGAGTGCCCTGCAACCTCTCCGGCTGAACACACACACACACACACACACAAATAACATGAATTCATGCAAACATATACTTAAACAATCGGTGGGATTAAAGTTCCGACGCTACGACGGATTTCCGTCAGTTCATAAAGACAGTCACTTGCTTCATTCCTGAATGATTCAGCCTTTCGAACGAATCAATTGAATGAATGATTCAGTGATAAAATCAGTGACTTGCCGCCACCTGCTGGCGGATTTAGTTTAAAGGGGTCATATGATGCGATTTCTCTTTTGAGTGTTACAAGCTCTTGGTGCATAAAGATCATCTGTAAAGTTGCAAAGACTAAAGTCTCAAATCCAAAGAGATATTCTTTACAAAAGTTAAGAGTCAGCCACACCTACCTAAAACGGCTCGTTCTAACACGCCCCCACATGTCTACATCACTATGTGGAAATATTAGCATAATGCCGCCCAAATGTGCACGCAAAGAAAGAAGGCTGATTTCAGGAACAGCAGTAGTGTTGATGCAGCATGTCAGGGAGACGCTGTGTTTCAGTGCGAAAGCAAAAGCACTTTATTTGGCCTTCCGGAAGTAGATGCAATTAGGAATCATTGGTTAAGATTTATTTACAACAGAACAGCACAACCCAGATGTTCGAATTTGTGCAACGCATTTTATGGACGACAGTTTTTTGAACCTAGAAGAGTACAAGGCTGGCTGTGCACAAAGGCTATTTCTAAAAAAAAAAAAAA